TAAATTGCGTAATACTCCGTAATAAATTGCGTAATATTACGTAATAAATTGCGCAATATTATGTCCAGACCGTAATTTTTGCGCAATATTACGGGCCGTAATATCTTACGTAAGATTACGTTTATATAATTTGCTGATGATGAACAAAGCAATGTATAACACCTTTATTTCCGCCTTTTCAGGGTATGGACTTTTTGGACTTGCAATGCGGCTTGGAGTAAGGTTTCTTGACAGACTTGTGCAAATCGCTGACTACCAAGCAGCATTTCAAGTACTCGAACTTATTTGGATAGCTGTTGGGGCTGCAATTCATATATATGCTGAAGAAAACGAAATTTCCATTAATAATATTCCCAACGAAGATAATAAATTATTAAAAGTATGAAATAATTTTTACTGATGGGCCGAGTACTTGAAATTACATAAGCTTGGAATCCGCATGGCAAACTCTGATTTGCAGATTCATGGCTTGATGGCGTTTGCTCCTTTATTCCCTAAAACAAGAAAATATAGGTATGCTGAATCTGTGGTATGATTTTTGTCAGATATTCAAAATAGTCCACAACTTTGCCAAAATCTTCGAGCAGTTCCCTCAATCAATTTAACGCGAGAAGGTTATTATTTTGCTTATGACGAAGCTCTAGAAACTTTCGGTGTAAAGTTTGTAAAGCAAAACATGACCGGACAGGCAACTGATTCTGATAATCTAATACAAAACATCAAATCGGTACAGTCAGAGTATGAAAGGCTTGATTTGTTAATTTCAGAATTTTGGGAAAATCAATTAATAGACAAAAAACCATGGTTTATTAAAGATCGCAAAGAAACCCTTTAGGAACTAATTTATGAGCTTAAATTAAGATTTAGCAACCTACAGACAGAAACATGCACCTTATTTAAAGAAACTACACAGTTGACTGATGATGGCTACCAACGGATGTTTGGATGTTATCAGTTAGGAGTCGAAACAATGACTACCCACATTGCTACTGGATTAAAAAAATGGCAAAGCAAATGGGATCTTAAATCTATGAAATTAAAAGAAAAAGAAAAAAAAGATATAAGCAATAACCCTATACAAGTTCCAGAGACACAAAATATGGAGATTGAACTCAGAATCGAAGAAGTAGCTGAAACATCCACATTTCAAACGTCTTCAAAAAAACATAAAAAGCATAAAACAACAGATGCTAAAGAGCAAATATTGAAGCAGCTTGAAGATTATAAAGACACTTCCTTATTGCTTCCGGAAATTGTTAATGGGTTAGTGGAACAATTGGTGGAAGTGGAACAGTTATTGAAGCTACCTAATTATTAGACATCAACTCGGGTTCAACAGTGATGGTATTACCGATATAAAAAATCAAAGAAGGTATATGTAACTCAGAATTATTACAATATTACAGTATTTTACAAAGATTCTAAATAATATTACCTACTTTTAGTCCCAGTTGGGCCTTGAACTGATTGTACTCATTGAAGACAATATCGTTTCAACATCTATGGATGATATTACTTTACCGTAAATTTTAGAAATCTCTTTGTAATGCGCTATTGCGCTTTTCTATTTTGGCTATTTTTTTAAATAAATAAAGTAAAAACTTGAATAAAATACAAAAAAATATAATAATTAAACAATTACCCTTACTTTTTAATGATTCAATTGCAAAGATCAATGTGAAAGTGTGTACGTACAGTTAGACCTCCTAAATGCAACCCCTATAAGCGCACATCCTATGAAAAGCCACCCTAAATGCATGCCTTTTCTTGGGCCCAACTAATATTACACCTATAATTTTACCTTCCTAAAGGCAATACCTCTCCAAGTGCACGTTTGGTTAATTTTTACATTCTGTCGCATTACATTTAGAGAAGTCTGACTGTACTATAATATAAAATCTTAAATCTACTATAATCAGACTTTGATCTATAATAAGGCCGTACAAATGTTAATTTCTTTCTTGGTTTTTATAACATGCGAAAGAACTGGTAAAAAGCCTAAAATTAAAAAAATATCAGTAACAAATAGAACGATCTACATAATAGAAAACATGTTTCTTATCTTTTTTCATCTTTTTATAATGTACCACCCATCAAAGTTAACCATTTTCGAAAGCTTTCACTCTGGCACACCTTCTGATCTACTTTTCAAGCCAAAAAATTTCGAACAGAAGAAACATCAGGCAGCTAAAGGCGAAATGGTTACCCATCTTTAGAGCTGTCATATTTTATAAGAAAATGTTAGTTTTTTATGTTTTTTATATCGTTAGAATCGTAGAAAGCTTAGCTATAAATTTGGCATAAGGAATGTTATATATTAAGACTAAGGTTTTAGGCAAAATCTTTAAAAATGTAACTGGTTTGTTTTGTATAACATTCGAAAATCATAGTAGAGAATTTTAGATGTGACAAATCGTGTGACTGATATATTAGAACCCTGATATACAAAATACCGATACACAAAATCCCAGCAACAAAATCCCGATACACAAAATTCTGACAAATTAAAATCTTAAATATATTAAAATTAGGATTTTAATTTGTCAGGATTTTATATATTGGGATTTTGTTGTCAGGATTTTGTGTGTCAGGATTCTGTATATTGGGATTATGATATACAACCTTCTTCAAGATATAAAAAGTGGCCTTATTCACTTTAAGAAATGAAAATTCTGGCTGAAGCATTCCAAACTGAAGATCTGAATCCTTTACAAAATATTTTGCAATATTGGGAACCTTGTATTATATATATATATGGAGACAAAGGAATGGGAAAAAGTGATTTTTGTACTGATTTATTTTCTAAAACAGTGATAGTAGATGACATAGTTATTTGCAATTTTTCAAATGACCTCAAATGACCCCGAAATAACTAGTCATTATCGGTCATCTCAATTTCGGGTCATTTGGAAATGACTTGTGACCAAATGACCATGGTCATTTAGAAATGACCGGGGTTATTTGAGAATCATTTAGTCTATAGATTTTGAAATAGACTAGGTTAGGCTAGGTATTTGTGTACTCGGGCCCAAGCTCAATAAAAAT